AAACCCTAAACCCTAAAACCACCTATTAAAAAAAAAACGGGCCTTGGCCAGAGCGCCAAGGCCCTGCTGCAGCTGGCGGAGCAAAACTCCGACCTCGCGGCTCTCAGATGCTTTAAGTCTAAGGTTCCAAGTATGGGCCCCTCCCATGAGGTCTTTGGGGGTTCTAGGGTCCCTTGTGGGTACATAATACAGTAGGTATATAAGGTCCCAGGGTTAAGGGCCCATANNGCCCATACTAGGGGCCCATGGGCTCAATTGTAGATTACGGGGGACTTAAAGAGTTTAGGGTTTAGGGTTTAAGGGTTTGGGGTTTAGGGTTTAGGGTTTAGGGTTTAGGGTTTAGGGTTTAGAATTTAGGGTTTAGGGTTTTAGGGTTTAGGGTTTTAGGGTTGAGGGTTTAGGGTTCCGGGTTTTAGGTTTAGGGTTTAGGGTTTAGGTTTTAGGGTTGAGGGTTTAGGGTTTTCGGGTTTAGGGTTTGAAGGTTTAGGGTTGGGTTTGGGGTTTAAGGTTTAGGGTTTAGGGCTGTGTTTTTAGGGAGTTAGGGTTTAGGGAGTTTAGGATTTAAGGGTTTGGGGTTTGGGGTCCTTCAAAGGGCCCTTTAGGGTCCTTTTCGGGTGTCATTTAAAGGGCTCTTTAGGGTTCTTTGCAGGGGCTCCCTTCTAGCCTAAGCCTTAATAAACCTTAGACCCTGAACCTTAGCCCCTAAACCTCATTACGGGTTTAAGCCCAGCCTAAACCTTGGACCCTGAAGAGCTTTAGGCCTAAACCCGAAGGTTTCGGACGACCTGAATTAATTCATACTTCGGCACAACCCAGGACCTTAATACATAATTCGGCCCAGGCCAGCGAATTATAAATTAAGGTCGCCGCGATCTTAATTTCATGCGTGCCCCATTAAAGTTTGAATGCATATAGTAAGATATAGTCCTTACCAAAAGGTGTTGCAGTCTCCGTGCTCGATGACGACTTCAAGAGGCTAGAACGAACACGGGCGTGGAAGTAACTCAGCACCCAGCCGTGCAGAAAAGCAAGCGCGTGGAGCTGGAGACCTGACAACGACGGGAATCAACGGTGTGCCCTGAACTCAACCCCGCACCCCCAAAACCCCCTAAACCCTAAACCCTAAACCGGAAACCTAAACCCTAAACCCTAAACCCTAAACCCTAAACCCTAAACCCTAAACCTAAACCCCAAACCCTAAACCCTAAACCCCGCCCAAAAGCCTGAACCGTGGAATCCCGCAGCGAAGCTGGAAGTTGGGAGTTGAGTGCCAGTTGATTTGCCAAAGGAAGCTACAGGTGGGGAGTTTAGGGCTTAGGGTTTTAGGGTTTAGTACTTAGAGTTTAGGGTTTATGGTTTAGGGTTTAGAGTTTAGGGTTTAGGGAAGTTTAGGGCTTAAGGTTTAGGGTTAGGTGGGGAGTTTAGGGTATATTGGGGCTTCTATAAGGCTTCCGTAAGGTATATAGACCTTTGTTGATCTGGTAGATCGTGATTGTT